TAATTTATTTGCTTCATATGTATGCCCATCAATCTTCAAAGTGGTACTTATGGTTAGGAACCTCTGCAAGTGTTTATTGGCATCTTCATTGACCTTTCCGATAAAAGATCTCCTCTCAAGCTGAGTGATTGTGCTCAAATATAGTTTAAAATTTGACACATTAACCAGTTGGTTTACAATTCTCAACCTACCACCCGGTACATTAGCCCCACCATAGTCACCAAGGAGTCTCTCTGGTGGATCTTCAACTATAGTTACCATAGTCTCTGAATGAACTGGGATTTTCTCTTCTTCGGAGTCCAGTATTTCTAATCCAGCTTGTCTGAGTCTCGCGCACATAGTTCTTTCGATTTCTACGTCAAAAGGAAAATTAGCTAAGGGTTCTCCTCGCATAAAAATATCAGACACAGATTAGTAGTAACAAAACAAAAAATTATAAAAATAAAACTGAAAATAAAATTTTAGTTGACGAGCAACAAAATTCAATTGAACTAAAATTAAAAGTCTATATTTTGGCAGTCCCTAGCAACTGCGCCAAAAAATTGATCGAAAAATGGTAATTGTACTATTTTGCCTTTTGCAGTAATAATGGGGAAATTTTCCCGAATATCGATTTCAAGGACTGCGCGTCAATATTGAATTCCAATAGTAGTTCAATTAAACAAAAACTATAGTTTGGTTTGATTTGAAAATTATGAATTAACAATAAATAAACATAAGCAGAATAAAAAATTTGTTTTGACAAATATGAGAATATGCTAGGGCAAGGTGTATGATTTGTCATGTAACAACTCTGAATCCTTATTTCGTTAACAAGTTCAAAATAATCAATTACCAATTCTTTAGTTTATTTTCTCCTAAATCCTTAGTGGGAAAACCTTTGATCATTCATCCTAAATTCTAAGTCCATACAAATTTATGATGAAGTCAAGCATTTGTGTTATCAAGAATATATCGGTTGCTACAGGGTATCCCTAGTCCTAGGTGATATCTACTATAGCTTAATCGTACAAAACCATTAACAATGGCGGTCCAACCTAATTATTAATCGCCATTCAATCTCTATCGGTTCGACAGAGAAGGCACTAGAAACATTGTACGATTAAATTGATTATGAAAAACAAATATATTACTGAAATTAAGAAGTAAAAGTAGTCTACAAATTTAAATCAGGGACACCCCCTAGCATTGGGGGATTTAGCTACTCATATACTGTTCAAAGAAAATACAAGATAAAATCTAGACATTACAAGGATTGTGATGAATGTCGATCTTCAATTGCATCCGCTCATGAAAATCTTTCGCTCTCCAAAAACCTTGTCTTCTCTAATCTTCAATCGTGTAATTCGTCGCTTCCAAAAAATTTCCTTAATCCTTCTCAAAAACTTGCTTAAATAGAAAAGATCCACTGAAACCGGTTTGAAATACCCAAACCATCCTTATAGACTAAAAATTGAGAAAAATAAGATAAAATACTAAAACCATCATCACAAGCCAACACTAGCCATGTCAGCTACTACGGGCGCCTGTAACAGACCCCTGAGGTTTTGGAAATTCATGATGTCAGGCTGACACAACCAGTGTCAGTTATTATAGGTGGCCGTAGCAGACCTCCTAGAGTGTGCAGAAAACTTTTCTGAATTTTCACAATTTTTCCTAGTTTTTGCTCTGATCCTTCTTGAATATCTGTCTGAACCTGCGAATATTAAAGAGACACAAACAAAGCATAAAATGCGGAAAAGGGAAATAAAATACTTAAAAACAATGAAAAAATTAACTAAAATTAACGGTAATAAAAGTGTAAAAATCATTGATCATTACACAACCAAAGACCTTGAGATTTTTTTGTCAAGATTGTGATTGAATAAAATAGTGTAGATGTTGAACTAAAGGAGGTAGTTAGAAGTTTGTTTATGAGATAAGTGGTTGTTAGAAATGTATAGTACCAATAGGCAATATTTAAGTATAAATCAATAATATGCGTCTGTTTCCTCTCTACAACACCACACCATTTTGATGGTGTGTATGTGGGCATATTAGTCCATGGGTAACTCCTAACTCACTAAATATTTTTTGAAGTGGAAAAAATGTCCATCCCAACCACTTTGAATGACTTTTATATAATGACAAAATTAAAGTTCAACCATAGATTTGAACTATTTAAATATGAGGACGGCATAAGATTTAGATTTAAGTAAATTCATGTAAACCTTGAATAAGTATCTACAAAGGTAATATAATAGATGAAGATGGTAATACCCCATAAATCATCAAAAGGTGTGTGTATGTGGTGTGACATAAGTGAATGCAATATGTGAGACTTTATCATATAACAAGTATAATATAATCGAAAAATATTTTTATTTAGCAATGTAATATTACACCGTTGTAAAAAAAGTTTCAATAAGTGATTCCTAGGGTTTACTACCTAATATACCACAAGTATTGAGTGTTTTCAGATACACAAGTCATATAAATTGTATTAACAGAAGCAATGCTAATAAAAAAAGTGTATTATTTGAGGGGGGAAATTAGCACTAGAACTCGTATACTTGAGAGTGGTAATAGAAACATAAGGAAATACAAAATACACATTGAAGAAGTACACCATCATTAGTTTGAGATTCAGAAGACAATTATTATTACTAAACGCAAAACACACATTATTGCACTACAAAAAAAACTCTGATTTGTCATATGAGTAGCCCCCTGCAAAAGCAAATATCACCCTGCAACGTCATTTTTGCAAGGTGCAGAGGATACTCCGCAAAAACGTTAGTCGCAACTTTTTGCAAGGGGAAATGCACCCCTCAACTTTGCAAGAAGAATAGCACCTCACAACTTTGCCAGGTGAAAAATAACCTGCAACTCTTTTCCCAGATTTCAATACATATCAAAGCAGTTGAGTAGCAGATGGTTCAGAGCAAAGTGGAGCAGAAAGTGGTAGAAATTTGTGGGCTGAAAAGCACTCTGCAATGTTTTTCCAAGAGTTCAACGCATGTCAGAACAAGTGAGTACCAGAGTGGAGCAGAAACTTGCAGAAACTTGCGGGGTGTATATCACCTGGCAATATTTGAATATGCCTTATGAAATTTACCACACAAACAATAAAGAATATAATTAAAAAAATATTTATATTATTTTAAATATTAAATTAATATTTAAAATAATATAAATATAATAAATAATTTAAATTCTGAAATTTTTAAAAATGCTAAATTTATAATTAATTTTAAATATGTAAATTCATACTTAATTTTAAAAAAAAATCCATAGTTAAATAAATTCATAATTAATTTAAAATATTTAAATTCAAAATGATATTCATTCAAAATTTGATGTTTCCGTTTTCTTCATCATTCTCATTCTCGTCTACCGCTCCTTAGTTACCAATCGTTCCCACTCTGCCACCACCATATTGTTGAAACATTTGTTGCATTTGTTGTTGTATTTGTTGTTGTACTTGTTGTTGAATTTGTTGTTGTGTATGTCACCTTGCAAATTTCTAACCCTTGGAAGTTGCGGGGTGCAAATCACCTTGCAAAATCTGTGACAGTACTAGTCATCCACCTCCTGACGCAACAATAATTGTACAAGTGAATTCCCCCGAAATTTTTTAAAATTAATTGCAGGGTGCAAATCACCTGGAAAACTTTGAATTGTTGGGAGTTGCGGGGTGCAACTCACCTCGGAAATTTTGTGACAATACAATTCACCTTATCCCATTGAATTAGTAGTAATTCCATCAGTAGATTTCCCCCCAAAATTTTTAAAAAAGATTGTGGGGTGTTTATCACTTCGCAACTTTCTTTTTCAAAAATTTTAAATTTCCTCCACCTGTTGCGAGATGGAAAACCTTACGATTTTTTTTTAATAAAAAAACTGTGTTGCAGGGTGAATATCACCTTGGAAGTACGATATTTTGTGGGATGAATAACACCTAACATAATCACTTGACTAATTTGATATTTTCTTGTAGTGTTGTCAGGAACAAATTGACTTATACTAATGAGATTTTTGACAATGGAGGACATATAAAGAAGATAAGGACAATAAAAAGAATATGAAATTGAGAAAAAATACAACCCAACAAATTAATGAAAAGAATACACAATAATTTTAAAAAATAAAGCATATGAATACATTTATCTTCCTTTAAATTGCACGAAGAGATCTCATGGAGACGCATGAAGAAGTGAAATTGGTGCACACATATAGAGAAGCTAACATGTGTGCGGATATAATGTTGTTTGATATTGTTCCTCTTATTATTTTTCATTTGGTGTAAGTTGATGTCTTGGGTGTATCTTACCCAAGATTAATCTGTGTAATTATTTCTTCACTTGAGTTTAAGCCTTTATTAAAGAAAATAGATAATTACACGGGTCTCTCTTGATGCCTGTTAAAATAACACAAACACTTCTTTTAATTTTAAAATATATACTAACTTTCTATAAATTTAGTTATACCAACAAAATATTTTAATAACAAATAAAACGGTAGGTAAATGTCATCTACATCTATAATTTTTTGATGTTACTAAAAATTAATAGAGGGTGTTGATATTGTTTTAATAAACCTCAAAGAAAGTTAGTGCATGATTTAAAATTAAAAAAAAATATCTCTGTATGTTATGATAACTTTGTACACATTTTTCCAACTTAAAAAATCTACTAGTATACAAAGATTCTATTCTTCTTTATGGTTATGATCCTATTAGGTACGTAATCCTCAAAGGGTTTAGTTGTTTATCCCTTTATGTATCTCTAAATTAAACATACTAAACAAGAACTAAGGAAGTTACATGATTACACCACCAATTCAGCACTAAAAATATCACCATAGACTAATCACAAAACAAAACTAATTATAAAACACCAAACCCACAATTCAGCGTCACCATTAATATATCACAAAGTTAAACATTCTTCAAATAAATCAAAACATGAGTTTGTCATTCTCTCCCTCATGCTTGATTTGTAGTAAATAATAAACGTGACATGGCTGATAGTACAGTAAATTCGACCATTGACACCATTTTAACAAATGGAACGATATGGATTTGTGAACCCATATCTAAGAATCCAAGGTTAAGAGGGATTTTCTTTTCGGATAATCCATTTAATTACACATTGCCGGTTCTTTTTATTCAAATCTCTTTAGTTTCTAGCTTGACTGCAACTTTACAATTCTTGCTTGAACCTATTGGGGAGACCAGATTCTTTTCACAAATGCTGGTAATATGTTTTACATTTGATTCTATAGCTTTCTAGAAGGACTCTTTAAAAAATTTAGATAAAAATTTTGAATTACGATCGTTCATATTGTTATGCATGAGCGTTCAGGAGATAGAGGTGTTTTAAATATAATAGGTTTATAGTAATCGAAATTTCTGTGACTTACATATAAACGACATCTCATCTAATAATTTTTGTTTTAATCAAAGTTGTTATATATAATTGCATCTCTAATTGTGGCTATAATATTAAAATTAAGATTTTTTCATTAGATACGAAGAAGATTGAGGTTTTGGATTCCGAAATTCAAATTTTTGTAAAACAAATTTGAATGAACATGACCGAAATAGTCTGACGTGGTTACAATGCGGCCTCACAGGTGAATGTAGATCACACCCAATTACAATGCAGTGCAGTTGCTAAGAATACTTCTATCACTAATATTATAGTCACAATTGAATATGTGGATCACTTTTAAAACCATGCTACGAACTTCTACATAAACAAAAGTTATTCAACCCACCAACACATTTATGTGCTATGAAGCTAGGACTCTAATATCGGGACATAACACGAAACTGACACACTGATAATATAAAAAATATAAAATATCAACATACTATTAAATATGATAGTATTTAAATTTTATTTATCTATTAATTATTAAAAGAATAAAAAATATTCAAATTAAAATTATTGTCTAATTTTTCAATATAACATTGCTTCGGTACATTTTTTAACCCTTTTAGATGTGTGAAATTTGTCTTTAAAAAAATGTGTGTTGAAACAATTTTTTTTTTAAAACACTTATCTAATTTTTTTATATGTGTTGTATAAGTGTCAAATGTGTGTGAGACATTGATTTAAAGAGTGTTGAAACATAAAAAATTAATAATTTATTTGGAAATTTTTGTTTGACTTTTATCGACACTTATCTAATTTTTTTGCCATGTGTCATATAAATATTATATAAGTATCAGACACACGTGTGTCGAACACCACAACACGTCTAATTCTAAAGGTGTTCATGATTCATAGTTTATCTATATGTAAGTTAAAGAGATCCTAAATAAGATACATGTGTTTCTTAGTACTTGATACTACCTTGTGCAAATTTAACATGGTAGATTAATTTTTTAGGGAATGTGTCCTAATGTAAAACATGCTACTGAATTATTTTGTTACTCAAATTGGTTTTTTTAGGCTGGCATGATGCTAGGACCATCAGTTATAGGACAAAGTGCTTTCCTACAAAAGTGGCTATTCCCAACAAAAACATTCTACATAAGTGAGACAATTGCTTTTTTTGGCGGCATGATATTTATCTTTTTAATTGGAGTAAAAATTGATCTAAGTATTGTTGTAAGATCGGGAAAAAAAGCTTGGGCAATTGGAGTATTATCATTTCTCATTCCATTATTATTATGTTCTATTGTTTATTGTTTTACAAGAAAAACATTACCCCATGATCATCCTCTCTATAAGTCTTTATTTTCAATGACACTCATCTTCTCAAGTAGTTCATTCCATGTGACCGCAATCCACTTAGCAGATTTAAAGCTATCAAACTCCGAAATGGGACGATTAGCGATATCTTCATCCATGGTCAGTGGAACCATTTCGTTAGTGTTGGTTACCGCAATGATATCCCAAGGAAATACTTTTTCCTTGAAAGATAAGACTTTGTTCTTGATGGGCATGAGTTTACTTGTTATGATTACTTTCATATTATATGTTTTACGTCCCATAATGTTTTGGATGATAAGACAAACACCTGAAGGGAGACAAATGAAAGAAGCACATATAATATCAGTGTTTTTAATGCTAATGGGTTGTGCGCTTTTTAGCGAAATTATTGGACAACATGTTCTGGTTTTACCTATCATTTTTGGTATAGCTGTACCTGAAGGTCCTCCATTAGGATCAGCATTGACAGATAGATTGGATACATTGGTTTCGTCAATTTTTTTGCCGTTGTATTTTGTTTATAGTGGTTCTAGATTCAATATTTTTATAATTGATGGCCATACCTTTGTGATTGTTCAACTTCTTGCGATTGTTGCATTCCTTGGGAAGGTTGTAGGAACTATATTGCCTTCAATTTTTTGGAAGATGCCAATTGCCGATGTTATAGCTTTAGGACTACTTATGAGTGCTCAAGGCATCACACATTTGCTTTACTTGCAAACAGGTCTAAATATTAAGGTTTGAATCGACAATCCTTTATTTTTATTTTCATCTTGTATTTTTATGTGGCCGATTTGTATATAGAGAATTTATACACGTTTCTATTGTAGATGTTAGATGAACAATCATATGGCAATGCATTGATAGCATTACTATGGTTAACCGGAGTCACCACTCCCATTGTGAAATTCTTATACGATCCGTCTAAGAGGTACTTATCTTTAAATAGAAAAAGAACCATTGAACAATCAACTCAAGATATAGAACTACATCTCATGACCTGTATACATACTCAAGAAACCACACCTTCTATAATCAATATTCTTGAAATGTCAAACCCTTCATTGGAAAATCCTATTTGTCTCTATGTTCTACATCTTATTCAACTAAGAGGAAGATCAACCCCAGTTTTCATAGATCATCAATCGACTAGCAAGAAGAATCCTCTGCACAAGAATTACTCAGAGCATATAATAAACGCGTTTCGGTCCTACGAGAAACAAAAATCCAACAATGTTGTTGTGAAACTCTACACGTCGATTTCTCCTTATGAGACATTGCATGATGAAATATGTATGCAAGTTGCTGAAAAGAGAGTTTGTTTGTTGATTGTGCCTTTTCATAGACAATGGAAATCAAATGGGACAACAGAATTCGAACACTTGATAAGGGCATTAAATCGCCAGCTTCTCAGGACGGCACCTTGTTCTGTTGGGATTCTAATCGAGCGCGGTACTTTGAATATACGCAATCCTTTAATAAATGTAACATTTTATAATGTTGGAATAGTCTTTATAGAAGGAAACGATGACCGTGAAGCCTTAGCCTATGCGATACGGATGGCAAACAACCCGATTGTAAGGATCACATTGGTTCGACTAATGGAGCCTCAGAAGAAAAATAAGAACTTGATAAATAGGGATCCAGATGGGGATTTGATTCATAGGTTTAAAGTGGAATGCATCCAAATTAAACGACATGATTATAAAGAGGAAGTAGTAAGAGATAGTGTTGAAATGATAAATGTTCTAAGGTCACTTGAAGGTTGTTTTGATTTGACTTTGGTTGGTAGAAGACATGCAAGTGAGTCAAGTTTGTTTAGTGGATTAGCTAATTGGTATGAGTATCCTGAACTTGGACCTATTGGTGACTTGTTAGTTTCTTCCAATTCTACTTTTGATGGTTCTGTTATGGTGATTCAACAACAAAAGAGATCAGGGATTGGTTATGATTTGCGTTTAGATTATGGTGTTTTGCCAAAGCAAGAAAAAGTAACCATTAATGATAGAAAGGTGTGTCCAATTGTTTAATACGTAATTAGAAGGAAAACAAGAAAAATGTGAGTGTGAGATTTAAGATGAGAGAAAAATGATTGAGGGGACAAAAAATATTATTCAATTTTGATGTTAGAAATTATGTAAAACACACAAATATGTGGGAAACACATGTATAAAATGTCCTACTCTTACTTATGTGTTCCCATTTAACATTAACGGAAAATCAGTGTGTACATGCACCATCCTGTGAACATTCAGTATATATAGGAAGTATATACAACATTGTTTTATGAAATATCCTCATTCCATCTCTATGTATAAGTTATGAGCAACACTATATAATGGATGTACTCTATATTCCTATTGGCACAAATACTTAATCTAGATTTTATAATAATACATGATTTTTTGGTGCCTCTTTAGCTTTCGTAGAAGTTACAAATAAATAGTCAGTCTGTATAATCATTGGAAACAAAATGATTGTAATCATTTGTCCCAATTACTAAAATTATGATTGATCTAAATGTACTTATTAGAGCAAGATATTTGATTAGCTTGAATTTTTACATTTCTCCCCAACAAAAAAAATCAAAATAGTTGACAAAAATATATGATATATGAGGAGTAATGCCCTCACTCTGTAATAAGATTGAACTCTAGGTTTTGAGTTTCACCTCCAGTGGACCGACCCTAACCTGAGCTACTTGATTGATTATCCATGTACAACAGAGTTACACCCCCACATATGTTTGTCTCCCTAACTCTGACCGAGTGACTAGATATATTATCATCAATCTCTATTTCCATTTTGTTTTCATCATCAAGAAGATAATCATACAAATTTTGCAATGCTTGAATCTAAATTTTCCACATATGCTTGAAAGTGGTTTGTAGTATGAAATAAGAAGGTTTTGAAAAATTGAGAAGATTTTGAAAACTTAAGAATGAGAGGAGAGAAGAGGTTATCCTAAAGCATAAATTAAATGACAAGAAATAAATGGTCTCATTGTAATGTAGACCAAGAAGAAGCCTTTGTATGTGTAAGTGAAATAACCATTATGAAGCAAACATTTCACATTAGTCAAACTTAGCATTCATTTCCCTTTGGATTAATTCACAAGCATGCAAGCACAAATGAAAACCCAATTATTCAGATGAAAATAACCAAAGTTCAAAGGCAAGTTGAGTTTGATGATCAATGGTGCAGATGAATTCTAAGGTCTCTGACACAAACATCCAAATCATAGGAAGAGAAACCTATATTTAAGTCCAATAGTCCAAACTCCAAGCATAGGATAGTTCCGTCAAATCCAAAGATCAAGATTTAGTTTTTTAGGCTTTTTGTATTTAATAATGTTTTTGGCTTTTTGAGGCAAGCAAACAAAATAAAAGAAGATAATGCCAAAAAAAAAGATGACATGAATGTAAATGACTTAAATAATAAATGACAAGAAATATAAATAGAATAAAGTAAATTTCATTAATGTAAAGTGCGGAAAAAAAAGTTAGCATAATTAATGAAGTTAATGTTAGTGTTAGAAGTTAATCAATCGATTCGAGACAATTTAGCGCTATGTTAAGCAATTGTAAGTAGACTTATGTAGAAGTCACACCTTTGTGATGCTGGACAATAGTAATTTATGTGTCATACATGTTAGAGAAATGACACAAAATCATTCTCCTAGAACATGTAACACAAGTCAAAACAAAATCAAGAAAAAGAAGAAAAAAGAGATGGAGAACTGATCAATCACTAAGGCAAGGGAATTAGATCATTACTTCAATCAATCTTCTTCATTATACTTTGAGACAAACTTATCATCAATTCAAAGTACCAAAATTATCAAATGATTATTTAATGATAGATTTGAAATGAAGAAAGTTCATCAAGCACTAATTCAAAATCCAATTGAACAAGATGAAACTTCAATCAACCAAAAGTCAGAACCATTAATCATCAAAACAAACAAATATAATATGAAAAACAATTTAAAATGAGTTTTAATGGTTTAATAATAGAAATAAAGATAAAATTCAAAAGATGCATCAAAACATCAAATAAAAGCCACAAAAATTTGAGAAAGTAAGAAAAACTACAAGGATCATGATCTCAAAAGTTGGATTAAAGAATGTTTGAAAATTAATTGTTAGAAGAAAATTAAAATGAAAACAAAGAAAAAATAGCAAAAAATGGAAAAAATCATTTTAAAATTTTGAAAAAAATATATATGTGATAGAAAATATTTTTAGTGATTTATGAAAATAAATAGGAGTGAAAATAGTAAAGGAGCTATTTAAAATATATTTTAGAAGAAAATTAAATCAAAAGGAATTAAAATTAAAAAAGTAAATAAATAACAACAGTCAAGATGCGTGTCACTTCATGATTGGCTGGAGGATTCAAATTTTACTCCACAATGCACGAAAGACTTCATCTTCAACCTCTGAACTGTGATTTTGTAGATCCATGAACTTGGAGTTTTGAGCTCAAACACTACGTGTGTAAGCTTCTACTCACATCATCGTTCATGTATCTCTACATCAGAGTCATTGATTCACTCAGAGCAGAGAGAGTTTTACAGAAAATGCATAAAACCTAGCTACTTCAAAGTAAAATTAAATGACTAATACGAAGAATAAATTCAGTGTGAGTGAGGGTTTTTGATCAGTGAACCAAGACGAAGAGTGTGGTTACTTGTTTTCTCAATAATTTTAATCATATCTACCTGTTCAGCTGAAACTTCGAAGGTCAACAATGGTGGAATCGGGTTGAAGGTTGCAGGAGCTGTTGAACCTCTGTAATGCTTCAATTAGATTTAGATGATGCTGATGAAGGTCTCTGGGTTGAGAATTAGAGTTGAAACGAAGCAAAATGGAAGTTAGGGTTTTTGGTTTTTTGAAGGTTTCGTGAGTGAAAATGGAAGAGGTTTCATGGATGTGTGAGCTTGCAAATGAAGGCAAAATTATGCTCTATTTATAGGAAAGATGGTATATGCCAATTTAGATCTGGACTGTGTGAATCAAGTTAGAAAGTTCTAGAATGCAATATGTGTGAAGAGAAGGATGAAAACATTTGCACGAAATCAGGTTGTTTTGCACTCTTTGGAGCGTGTTTTGCAAGGACAAATGAGTGTGCACATATGTTTAGTGGTCCCAAGTTAGTTTAAGGTCATTTCTAATTACGAGTCATGTTCAAAAAATGCAGAGTTAGGGCACCATGTTCAAGCTGAGGACAAATTGAAGGTGTGACAAACACAAGAAAGGGGGGGGGGTTGAATTGGGTTTTTAAAACAAAAAATTTCTTTAAAAATATTCCCCTTTAAATTAAAATCCTTTTAACTTCACTCTTGATAATAACAATAAGTAAGAACAGGAAGTAAAGAACAAAGTATGTTTATACTAGTTCACTTAAAAATTATCAAGCTAGTCTAGTCCATCCGCCAAGATAATTTCGCTTCAGTCAATCGAGGACTTAATTCACTATAACTAAACTGATTAAAATTTGCACAAGCTACCCGAAAGTGACTAACAACCTCTAAGACTCACAATTCAAATACTTCTTAAGGATACAAACCTACCCAGTCCCTTAAGGAATATCAAACAATAATCAACCTAATTATTACAATGTACAAGGTACCGGCAAGTGACTCACAACCTCTAAAACTCGCAAGTCCTAGACTTCTTAAGAATGCAGACCTATCCGGTCCCTTAAGGAATATCAAACAACCATTTGAATACAAGTTTTGTTTACAAGAATATTGCTTCTACACAAGCTGAATATGTAAACTATTTTAAAAACAGTGACTTAAGAATATGAAATCTATGAACATCGTTTACGCGTGAATATTTCATTGATTGGCAGCTTTCTCTCTTAATGTTCAAGCCTTTATATAACCAATAAAATAATATATCCATTAAGGGGTACTCTTGGGATTTCCAGAAACATTGGCAGCTTGAACAGTAACGTGGGGGACAAAATTGTGTGACGCGTTTGCCCTTTCATGGTAATAGAATGAAATGTTGATTGTACCATGTACTATTTGTATCATGTTAACGTTATCTTCTTTCCTTATGCACTTCAGAGGCTTCTACGAGCATGATTTTAGAAGCGAGAACATAACACAAGGTCATCAGAACTTCAATTCTTCAGAGTCTTCAGAACCACGTCTTCGAAGTCTTCAATAATTAGTTGTGAGAACCTTTTCTTAGAGCCTTGGGTATTTAGAACTTCAAGTATTTAGAATCTTTATAACTTATGTCTTTAGATTCTTCAGCAATTGGTCTTTAGAACCCTTATGTTTAGAACCTCGGGTCTTTAGAAACTTGAGTCTTTAGCATCTGGACTTCAGTAGAAACTTTTGTCTTCAGATCTTCTGACTGGTTTCTTTATAACCCGTTGTCTTCAGAAACATGAGTCTTCAGCATCTGGACTTAAGTAACAACTTCTATCTTCAGATCTTCTGACTAGTTTCTTTATAAAAATATCAGATCTTACACTTCATAGCCTTTTGGAGTGTATTGCTACTGTTCAATAGAACTTGTGTAGCACATAAGCGGAACTAATTCTCTTCTAATGTCTTGGCCACACCATCCATCAGAAGAAAAATCTGTTTGTTAAGTACTCAACAATAACAAACATTAGTACAACAAATTTGTTCATTCAAACATACTTATTTGTTATCATCAAAACTCAGAGATAATATTGCAGAACCAAATCTTGTTCTCACAATCTCCCCCTTTTTGATGATGATAAAACTATGTATTTTGATGACACAATTTTGTACATATAATCAGAAAAAGTGAAAATAGAAAGGTAAGTAATACTTATCCTTTTTATGATACTCCCTCTGAGTCAATGAATTGATGAAGATTGAATATCCTGACTCTGAACCATTTGAGTAAAACTCCCCCTGGTTTTAATAGATCAGATATCGAGATCTTGAGAGTCTTTACTTTGGATGCCAATGGAAAAATTGAGATCTTGATGCCAATAGAACAGTTGAGATCTTGATTTCATAGAATTTCTTCTTATT